CATCATGAAGGACGCCGCGAACAGCGTCATCGCCGGCCTGAAGGACCTCGGTGGCCAACTGAAGAAGGGCATCCTCGAGAGCTTCTCCGTTCGCTACCGGGCCAACTACAACTTCACCACCACCACAACCACAACTGAAGAGGGAGGAGGCGATGGAAACGATGGAAAAAACACCACCTCCAGCAACTCGGCCACCTCTCTCCGCAAGCTGCTGACCGCCGCGAAGGACCGCCTCCTGGAGCGGCACACCTGGCTGCTGGTGCTGAAGCGCCTCCTCAGCGGCGTCATCTACTCCTGGCTGCTGGTCACCTTCTTCCGCGTCTTCTCCGGCCCGCTCTCCTACCTGGTGCTCTACCTGACCATCGCCAACTACGACAACCTCTACCTGACGCCGGCCTTCTACGCGTACGAGCGCGAGCAGCAGGCGAGAGGGGCGGAGCCGCTGATGCCGCTCTTCCTCTTCGAGACCGCCCTCTTCGTGCCGCGCACCGGCGCCGCCCTCAACGGCCCCGAGTCGACCGCCCTCGCCTGGGCGCTCCTCTTTGACGGCTACGTCGCCCTCTACACCGCCGCCCTCTTCGGCCTCGACTGGGCGGCGTACCAGGCGGTGACCGGGGTGCGCCGGCTGACCGGCCGCCTCGCCGAGGACCTCGTCGAGCCCTCGCTCACCCTCGCTCAGTCGGACGTTCCGCTGCTGGGGCGCCTCCTGACGGTGGGCGGCGACGGGGGGAAGCTGCTGAGCGACATCGCCGCCCTCAGGGCGGCCCTGGCGGAGTGCAGCCCGCGGGAGAGTCCCCTCGACTGGGCGATGTACCGGCGGGCGGCCTGGCTCCTGGCCGGCCTGCTCCTGCTCACCCTCGTCTGGCCCTACGCCCGGCGCTCCCGGTCGGCCATCGCCGACGCCTACTTTCCCGGGCGGCGGCGGACGCGGGCCGCCTGGCTCTACGGCACCATCACCCTCCAGCGAATTGTCTTTCGAGCGTAAGACCTGGTCTTTGCTTCTACGCATCGTTTCATCATCTTCTTCCCTCCCTCCTAGCATCGTCAACCTCGTCATGCCGCAGGCCAAGGTGATCCTCTTTCAGAAGGCCGGCCAGGTGAATCCCCTCCAGGGAGTTCCGCTAGAAGAGGAAGAAGAGGAGGCGGAGGCAGAGCTTCGCCGAAGGAAGCAGCTGAAGCAGCGGACCTTCTTCCTCTGTCGCTACTGGCCCTTCAGCACGATTGGCCGAACGCTGGGCTGCATCGCCGCTGACCCCAAGCAGCAGCAGCAGCAGTGCATTCAGTGTCCAAAGGTCGTCCACCTCTATCCACCTCTGGCCGGCGGTGATGGCGGTGGTGATGGCGTCCGGTGTCCGAACACGGCCGCCGCCTGCGACGCCGTCTACTGCCTGCCGTGCTACAGCAGTCTGCGGCGAGGCCTCTGCACTGTCTGTCGAGCGGAAATTCGAGACGCCGCAGAGCGGCTGGCGGCGATGGGCAGCGATGAGGAGGACGATGACGATGACGAGGAAGAGGTCGACTCCAGTGCCGACGAGTGGGACGGTCTGTAGAGTGTCAAATGAGACAAATGTTGTGAAATTCAATACGGCCAATGAAGAGGAGGAGAAGTAGGAAGTAAATTGAAAGGAACACCGAACGAGGAACGCATGAGGGTCTACAGTTTAGAGTCTAAACACACTGTCCCTTCACAGACGAGGTCTCTTTCTTTCTTTATTATTTAAAACGCGCAGAGTGAAACACGTCAAGCAAAATGGTCTCAGTTGGAATGGACTGCACTCTTCTGCTGCTGCTGCTGCTGCAGGTCATCACCGGCGGTGGCGTTGGCATTGGCGGCACCAGGCTGCGGCAGCATCTCCTTGTACAGCTTCACCTTTTTCGCCCCGTCGGCGGTGAGGCGGCCGATGAACTCCCGCCGGCGGCTGCTGTTCTTGGTCTCCATCCGCGCGACGAACATCTCGTGGATGCTGCTGGCGCTGGGCACCACATGGCCGGGGTCGAAGAGGCTCTTCGGCCGAGTCTTCTGATCAGCGGCAGCGGCCGCCGAGCCCACCCCTTTGGCCTCGGTCACCAGGGCCTCACCATTTTCCGGCTTGTTCTGATTTGCCGCCGCTGCCGCTTGAGCTGAAAAGAGACTCGGAGGTGGAGGAGTTTTCGCTCGGTCGACGCCGCCATTTCCGGTGCCATTGCCGCTAGGCGGCAGCAGCAGTCGCAGGTGGCTGGCGTCAAAGGAGGCGCCACTGTGCGGCTTGACGCTCTCAAAGAGGCTGAAAATTTCCTGGTGGGCGGGGTTGGCGGTNTTTTCCGGTGCCATTGCCGCAAGGCAGCAGCAGTCGCAGGTGGCTGGCGTCAAAGGAGGCGCCACTGTGCGGTTTGACGCTCTCAAAGAGGCTGAAAATTTCCTGGTGGGCGGGGTTGGCGGTGATACCACCGCTGCCACCACCACCACCACTTCCATTCTCCGCCAGGCGACAGTAGCACCGGAGAATGTGCTCCATCTCCAGCCAGAGGATGCGGTAGTGGTCCTCGCGCTTCAACGATGCGGCGCTCTTCCCCGAGCCGGAGGCGGCGGCCGAGGAGGTGCGCAGTATGGCGGCGTTGATGGGCAGGTTGACGCCCTTCGCCTCGCTGCCGGCCAGGCCGAAGAGGAGGTTCCGCAGCTCGGCGACCTCGGCGGCGCCGCTCAGGCGGTCGCGGCTGAGCAGCGAGTAGAAGTTGGCGTAGCCGGCGTCGCGAATGTTGAAGAAGACGGTGAAGCCAAAGGAGAGCGGCCAGTAGAGGGTGGCGCGCTGGAGGGCCAGCCGCGACGCCCGGAAGCGGTCGACGGCGGGGGGCGCCACCGTGGTCAGGCCCTCGTGGTGGCCTGCGCCGGTCTTCGCCGGCGGCTCCACCCGGACCAGCCGGTGCGCCCGCATCAGCTCGGCGAGCTCATTCACGCGGTAGTCGGTGACGCGGCCGCCGACGCCCTCGCTGATGGAGGGCGGCTCTTCAATCGGCGACCGCGTGCAGTTGAGCACGTTAATGTAGAGTTCGCCGTTGAGCGACTGCAGCGAGTGCGAGGTCAGCTTCGGGTGCGTGCTCTTGGCCGTCTGCCGACCGGTCATCTCCAGGTTGACCGTCTTCCCGGTGTGGAGGAAGTTAATTAGACAGCTGGAGGGACGGCTGTTGACGTCCACCGCCGTCAGGCGGTACGAGCCCATGATGTTGTTCATCTCGCTGAAGCTCGACTTTGGTGTGCACCACTTGAGAATTAGCGTCTGATACTGGTGGCCCTCGCGGCTGCAGGTGCTGAAGAAGCCGCTCAGGTCGCTGGCAATGGGCGCGTAGACGCAGCTGTCGAAGAACTGCGTGTGAACGCGCTTCGAGTGGACGATCTCCACGTCGTAGTTGGCGGAGCTGCCGGCGTTCTGCTCCTCCTTCATCGGAATGCCCGAGATGGTGGAGGAGGCGAGATCAAAGTGCTCGAAGGCCATGTTGGTTAGCTTCGAGGAGAGGAAGGAGCTGGAGAAGGTGCTGTACACGGTGAAGGAGAGGTTGGCGGAGAGGTGGACGGTGGGCAGGTCCTCGGTGAAGAAGGGACAGCCGCGGAGGTTTTTGGAAGGTCGGAGCAGCGGTGGCGGCGACTCGTGCCCGGGGATGACGTCCTCCTCCTGACAGGGCACCGTGTTGATGACGATCACGTCGAGGGCCTTGATGCGCGCCCGCGACTCCTGCGACATCTGCCCGTGCTCCTCGACGATGGTCCGGATCTTCTCCTGAAGGGCCTTCACCACCGCCGCGTTCTTCGGCAGCGCCGTGACGATGATGATGCGCGCCGAGTTGGTCGTGGTCGCCGCCGCCGCCGCCGCCGCTCCCGTCAGATCAAAGTTGGCCGTCGAGAGGGAGTCCAGCTCGGCGGCGAAACCGTTGGTCAGGTAGGCGAGCCCGAGGTCGTTCTCCACTGAGCTCTGGTGCTGAAGTCCGGCACTTCCTCCTGCCGCCGCCTGCTGCAGTCTCAGGGTGCTGGACAGCCGCCCAAAGGCGTCATGAAGGGCGAGGTAGTTCTGCTGGCCCACCTCCCAGCTGTTCAGCGGGCGGACGTAGTCGCTCAGACAGGCGCTCACCTTGATCGCCCGCTCGCCGTTGGGAAAGAGGTCCCAGACGATGCGGCAGTACTCGAAGAGCGCCTCCACGGCGCAGCTGTACAGCGACTTGGCGATGAAGGGGCTGAATGATGCCGGGCCGCCCCCTGAAGAATNTTCCTCCTGCCGCCGCCTGCTGCAGTCTCAGGGTGCTGGACAGCCGCCCAAAGGCGTCATGAAGGGCGAGGTAGTTCTGCTGGCCCACCTCCCAGCTGTTCAGCGGGCGGACGTAGTCGCTCAGACAGGCGCTCACCTTGATCGCCCGCTCGCCGTTGGGAAAGAGGTCCCAGACGATGCGGCAGTACTCGAAGAGCGCCTCCACGGCGCAGCTGTACAGCGACTTGGCGATGAAGGGGCTGAATGATGCCGGGCCGCCCCCTGAAGAATGCCCCTGAAGATGTGGGTGAAGATGTGCCAGTTGGCTCTTCTTCGGCGGCAGCTCAATCTCGAAGCGGCGGCCGCAGAAGGTGGCGCGGAAGGCCGCCGAGGCGTCCACCAGGAAGATCGTCCGGTAGTTGGCCACGCTGTCCACGCTCTCCATCGCCACCATCTTGTCAGCGGGAGGTAAAATAGTGAAACTGGTGGAGGTGAATTCTTGGGTGATTGGTCTTCAAAAAATTTTTCGCTTTTTCGCTTCGAAAACACTCAAAACAAGAAAACAACACCGCTAGAGGCTATTTCCACTGTAGCGGCCGCGCGCCGTGAAATGAACACAAAATAGAGCGCCGCTGGCGAGTTTGTTTTCATCTTCCGCTGCTGCTCCACGTGATTGCGATTCTGATTTGGAAATTCCTCATTTGTTGCATCTCCGCTGAATCGCCGCTGAATTAGCTCCTGAACTGAACTCTTCAACCGTGCTACGCTCGGTGTCATCAGAAGAAGATGAAGATCACTCGCTATAAGCGCGTTCAGCGGTACCTCTCCTTCTACCGAAACAACTTCCACTTTCACCCGCCGTACCAGATTCTGCTGGATGGCACCTTCTGTCAGGCTGCGCTGAAGAACAAGGTGAACATCGCCGAGCAGATGCCCAAGTACATCGGCGACCAGGTGAAGCTGCTGACGACGGTGTGCGTGGTGAATGAGACTGAAAAGCTCAGTAAGTGATAGTTCATCTCGTTTGAAGCCCAAACAGTCCAACTAACTCTGACTTCCCTCTAGGCAAGGCACTCTACGGTGCGATGCTCATCGTGAAGCAGTTTCCAGTGCACAAGTGCGGCCACGAGAAGAACCCAATCGGTGCCAGTGAGTGCCTGCACTCGTTGGTGAAGAGGAACTCCAGTGACCACTACTTTCTCGCGACGCAGGACGCCGATCTGACGGAGAGGGTGCGCCGCCTCGCCCATGTGCCGCTGATCTACATCAAGATGAACACCATCGTCATGGAGAAGCCGCAGGACCTGGCGAAGGACATGGCCGAGCAGTCGCAGGAGGCGGCACTCACCGTCGACGACCACCAGCTGCAGACGCTGAAGTCGCTGAAGAGGCGAGTGCTCGGTGAGGACGCGGAGGAGGAGGAGGCGGATAAGAAGAAGAAGAAGCGGAAAGGTCCGAAAGGACCGAACCCTCTCTCCTGTAAGAAGAAGGGCGCCGCCTCAAAGGCAGCTCACCCCTCATCATCATCATCATCATCATCATCGGCGGCGGCGGGGGCATCAAACTCGAAGGAGAGCAGAAAGAAGCGAAAGCGAGCTAACCGCATACCGAATCACATCAAGCGAATGTTCAACAAGATTGAGAGCGAGCTGACGGCTAAAGAGTGACATTGTTTTTTTGTAAATAAAAGCTTTTACCGAATTATTCTTGTTCTATCTCTTCAAGGTGATGACTTTTCGAATCCCAAACTCAAAAAGCCAAACTTCTGGGCAATGTTGCCAGCTGGAAAGAGCTTTTCAAGAAGATAAATTCAGACGGCATTTCACGAGTCCTTTGAGCCGGCAAAGGAGCGATCACTGCAGCGAGCCTTCGACACCGGATACGGGCTAATTTACCGGTACTTTAAGGCGATATCAATGCTCGAAGCCGTCTACGAATAAGTGTTTGGTTTGGTTTTGTGTGCTTTCACTTGATCATTTTTGCTTTCTTTTCAGTGGAGCGTACCACTTTTTTGTGGAATCAAGGAGGAAAGAGCAAGCTGCTGAAGAGCAATTTGCAGACATAAAGTCCTCATTTGCAGTCCTATACTCTGAGCTGTTTGAGGAGTTCAGTCAGAAGATTGACGGAGACGTCGAGAAGGGGGCCCCGGTCGTCGATGAAAGCTACCAGCCCACGTCGCA